TCATCAATAGATGAAGTAAAAATATTCTTATTTGTCCAATCTTTCCATCTATGAAATGATGTCTGTTGCTGTTGTCCTGTTGCAGTGATAGTTTTTGTAATAGTACATTGTAACTCTTCCATTTTTTAATAAAATACTTTCAAAGTATATGCATCAAAATGATCCTTTTAAATTTCAAATTAACTGAGCACAAAAGCGAGGAAGAGGAGGAGGAAAAGAGAGGGAAGTGGAAAAAAGAAGAAAGTAAAAATTTTCAACCAATCATTTAAAAGATGAAAGGCTTAAAATATGCTTAAAACCATTGTTTATCATCATTCTAAATAAAACCATTACATTCCATACATCCTTCCATTTTCATCCTTTTTAAGACTTTGACATTCTCAATCACTTCTATTCTTAAGCTTCAATTCCTATTATGGGGGAAAAATTTTTTGAATTACCAATAAGAATAAGAAGCACCAATCATTGCAAATAATTACTAAACAATTTCGGCAATAAACAAATCACAATTGTCAATTTTATTAAAACATTGTATGTGCCATACATTTCTCCACATTTTCCTTCTTCTTCCTTCCTTTTTTTTTTTTCATGCCTAAAAAGGATTAAAAGCAATGAAAAAAATAAATTATTGAAAAGAAAAACAGAAGAAAAGAGAACATTTTTTGGTTTCTATTTATTTTGTCGCTAAAACAGAATTTTTAGCATTGATAAAAATTCAACGATCATTTAAAAATCATTGATAAACATTAATAATATGATGAAGAAAATTTTTTCATCAAATTTGAATTATTTTAAAATACGAATAAGCAAAAGGGAATTATTCCATAAAATTCTAAATGTTGCTATCATTTTTAATAAAAATTTTAAACAGTGACTTTCTGTTGCTAACTTTTTAATTTTTATTTTATAGAATGTAAATCGATGAAACAAAGTGCTATTGTTTCTGAGAAAGAAAAAAATAATTACATTTAAAGAGAAATAAATGAAGAAAAAGTATGTAAAGAAAAGTTATACATAACGAAAAGTGAAGAAAAATATGAATTAGGGAAAAAATTTTATAAGCAAATTAATAACTTAGAAAAATTCCTATAGCACTGAAAAATTTCGGATAACATTTGTTTTATTTTTGAAGATAAAATGTATAAGTTAAAAAAGTTCTGTATCATTTAAATTACTGAATTGAATAATCATGGTGATAAATAAAATATGCATAAAAATTATCAGAAATATTTGTGAATTAAATTTATGATAATGTCATCAATTAATTTATTTAATAATGAATTGATCCGATTAAAATTAGTGAGTAGTAAGCTGTTATTTTTATATCATGTGAAATCCTCGATGAAATTAATTTGTAAAATTTACAATAAAATTTGGCATTCACAAATCGTGTAACTATTATTCCGGAAAATGTCAAAATAATTAATTTTTTTAATATGCAATGATTTATTTTCAGCAATTAACAACATTTTTTACATCGACTATGGAATATTTGACATTTAAACTATAATAATTTATCATTACATTTAAAAATTGAAACACATTTCAGCAGCTTTTCCATAATTTATCAAAATTTATCAAAAAAGTTTAATGGAGAATTATGAACGAAATAATATTTTTTGAAGGTTATATGGAAATAAAATTTTAGAAAATGAAGAACATTTTTAGTAATTTATCAATGATTGATCTATTTTAATTAATCATTTATATGCATAAATAAATACATGAGTAGAACATTTTTCATCCATATTTAATTATTTAATTATAAAACATTTCTTTTTCAATTCCATTGACTGGAATTTGATGAAATAAATTTAAAGTTTCTATTTGATGTTATTGTAGTATCAGATTTGCATTTTCAAATGAAAGAGCAAATTTACATAATAAATGCTTATTTTATACAGTTAAAATTTTAATTTCCATTTTCTGTTGTCAAACAAAAAAATGAAAAAAACAAAAGACATAAAGAAGTGATTGTAAATTTAAATTGAAAAATGGACGAGAAAGCTAACCGAAAATATCATTTTTTTTTTTTTTTTAAAAATCAGCAAGTTTAATTCTTGCCTCCTGTAACTCTAAATTTTTCAAAACCTCCCCCTTCCCACCCGAACAAATACCGAAATCGTAAGATTTCCTGGAAGATAAAATCGTTTTTTTTTTTTTTCAAAATTCAAAATTTTCAAACAACCTTTTTCAGATTTGGAGTAAAATTATCATTCCAAAAATATTGGTTGATTTTCATGATAATGTATGAGTGAGAGGAGGAAAAAAAAAAACATCGCTAAATATCCTAAACGTTTATAGCAATAACAATACTTCAAATGTATCATATACAACGTGAGTCATTAACGGTATGTGTACACGTACGTGGAATGTTTTTTATGTATGATCATTTGCATATAGCATGGGCTGCTAATAACTAAAGCTTCTATACATAAGTTAGAGTCCTGAGAGGAGAAATTGAGGTCGTATGGATGGAAATTTTTGAAGTCGTTTGCTAATTGCTGGAGATGTTGTTGTTGATGGTGTTGCTTTTTTTTTTTTTGTTTTTTACTTCAGTTAATTAACTTTTAATACAATTTCAATTCATTTTAAAATTTTGAAATTACTTTTCAAAATATCTTGAAAATTTTTAAATTTGAAAATTATTAAAAAATAATTCTTGCATAAATTGTTTCATATTTTAGATTTAAAAAATTGTCAAAAAATTTAGCGAAATGATTACGAATGAAAAATGATTAAAGTGATAGAATCGTGATTTGATTGATTTTTGTTTTC